CTTTCCTAAAATAAGGTAACTGTTTAAATTTTCAGGATAGCTTGGTGACAGTAAGATCTCAAATGAATGTTTGGATTCACTCTTGAGTCGCAAAAGCTTTCCGTAACGTAATCCCAAAGGTATTAAGGAAGAGATTTATGGTCTCTCGAGGGCCAATTAGCAATCAAATGAACAGATTTACTGAAATTGTTTATTTGCTTGTGACAGTATGCACTAAGCACTTGTTTATACCTTCCGGATCAATAGCAATAAGTACAAAGTGTACTTCTCAACATCAACCACTCACATGTTGAAATTCATAAGAGAAAGCAAACTTTTCCAGGTGGTATCAAAGGATGCAACACAAACACAAACTGAACATATAAAATTCTCAAAATGAGTGTTAAAAGTCTGTTATCTACAAACAAAAAACCTTATCTGAACCTAAAAAAAGGAGAATTCTAGCTAGCTAAGCTTACACAGCTACGTAGAAACGAAAAACGATAGATGTATGGACGGGTTAATGGAAGGTTTCTTTACAGCCATGAGCTGGGCTTACTTCTAATTAAATTCAAACTGAAATTAACTCTCCTCTCCACTCGAAAAAGATACGGTACTTGGAAATTCTTTCTCGCAAGAACCACAATTGAGAGTCAAAGTGAAACATGAATCCCGCCCTTGGACTTTCAAAAAGCGCGATACTAACGTAACGTACACAGTATAAAATTGCGAATGTAACCACTTAAATTGGGTAGACTCATCTAGTTGGTAAAAAGTTTATGTACAAAAAACAATAGTAGAACAATAGAACACTATACTTAAAATGTTGACACTGTATCCAATTGGAGAACAATAGAACATTGTATCCAATTGAAATATTTTAACATTAAATTTTTGTCAATAAATTTGCAAGGTAAAAATTTCGCTCTACATTACATCTAGTAATAATAATATCCATACTTGCAAATATAATCAATAAATAAATTCCGTAAAAAGTTAAAAAACAAGATGTCCACCACTTTACTGACAAAGAAAGTCAATCTCTTCGTCACTTTCTTCCAGCAGACTCTGATCCAAATCTACGGATGCGTTTTCATCGTTAAGGAAGATCCTTAGAAAGTGTCTATGAGTCTTCGTGTCTGTCTGCTTGCCTATCTTTCTTTTTCGTCTGTCTGTCCGTCTGTCTGTATGACTCTTTAAATACTTGCCTGACTGACCGCTTCTGTCTTTTCATCTGTCTGTCTTTCCGTCTGCCTGCCTGCCCATTCGCCTGTCTAACTGTCCGCTTGTCTTTTCGTCTGCCCATCTGCCTGCCTGTTCATCTGTCTGTTTGCCTTCCTAAATGTGTCTGTCTGTCTGTCTGTCCGCTTCTGCCTTTTCGTCTGCCCATCTGCCTGCCTGTTCGTCCGTCTGTCTGTCTGCCTCACTAAATGTTGGTCTAACTGTCCGCTACTGTCTTTTCGTCTGCTCATATGCCTACCTGTTCGTCCGTCTGTCTGTCTGCCTTCCTAAACGTCTGTCTCACTGTCCGCTTCTGTCTTTTCGTCTGCCCATTTGCTTTCCTATTCGTCCCTCTGTCTGTCTGCCTCACTAAATGTTGGTCTAACTGTCCGCCTCTGTCTTTTCGTCTGCTCATCTGCCTGCCTGTTCGTCGGTCTGCCTTTTTGTCTTTTCCTCTGTCTATCTGAGTATCTCTACACTAGCTACTGAGGCCGTACTGAGGACATAACTTAAAATCAAAGGATATTACTTTCTTTTTAGGCCTCTTTCCTTTTGGTTTTGTCTTTGCCTTCGACTGTCCCGCTGGTGGCATTTTTCGTCCCTTCACAACCTTCCTTGGCTTGGGAGCGCGCTTTTCCCGTGGTTTAGCACTAGGGGTTTTTAAATTTCCCTAAAAAAGAAACAAGGATAAAAACAATCAAGGATTTGGAGTAGTATGAACAAAAAGAAGGAAAAACATAAACGACAATAAAAAAAAAAAAAAACAGAAAAAACAACAGCAACAACAACAAGATAAGAGAGGCATACTTCTAGGTCCGTCATCTGCCCCTCTCCTATAGGACTTTCTCTCCCTCCGTTCCCAGAATCATCACTATCCTCTTCTGACGGGTCAAGCATCATCATCAGAGTTTTAAACTACAACAGATAAGCTTTTATCAACAAATGTAAAAATAACGATACGTATTGTTAGCTAGTACGCTGCTGGAGAAATCTAACTTGAAAACCAGGGGCAGAATTTACGCCAGGTTTCTTCGAGCATTAGCATTCAAACAGACCTCTCTACTAAACATTTGGAGTCTAAATAGAATTTACTCAAACTGTGGCAGCTCTTACAAAAAGTACTTGGACGTGATTGATAAGGGTTTGTTTGCTGGTTTATTCCGATAGAGAAATACGCTTGAAAAAAGCATAGTATGGACGTACAGGCACATGGGTAGAGAGGGTACCTTTCTGTAGAAACTGTGATGGTACGTCAGAGCGAATGACAAAGGGCTAACGCTCGAAACGCCATCTTTAGAAACTCTTACTAGTGGCCAATTTACATCATCAACTCTGTTGGCAAAACCAAATTATCTATTCATTACTATCTATCCAAATGCTCTGACGCTCGAAACGTCAGTATTGAAACGGCGGCCAATTTACGTTACAACTTAGTTGATAGTACCAAATGACTTTGCTATGCTCTCCCACCGACGCAGCACCACAGTTTCTTTAGAAACGTACCCCCTTTACCCTTTATTCACGGGTACGTTTGACTCTCTCAGCCTAACTTGGCAGTTAAATAAATTACCAGCATCCATTCAGTAAATTTGCAAGGAGCTTAGGGGATTTACCAGGCCAGCGCATACCTCTAAATAGTCTTGCACAAGCTGTTCGTGACTCCTAACCGCGTCTGGCTCTTCAACATAACGTAATACTTGTTCAGGGTTAAAGAAAACCCCTGCTTTCCTGGATACTGTCTTGTCATAGGTCTTCGTGGGTTCCGAGGGTGAATACTTATGGCATTTACTAAAATTGAAAAAATGTGGGAATTTAAACCATCCTCTCATCTCGGAACCCTTTCACCGCCGGTATACTGTAGAACATACAGGTAAATCTAAAGTCGATGGTGACTGATTTTTAAGCTTATTACAACAGCCTTATTTCATTTTTGCGTAACTAAACCAGCATAGCTTCTATAAAATTAAGGATTAGGCGGTAGAAAAGACAGGACGTTTTCCACCAATTAGAAACGCAACCCAATAGTCAATAAAAGGAATAGGAACTGCTGGAAAAGTATGTGAAGGACATTTCTTCCCATCTATCCTCCCATTGTTGTTCACTTGTTCGTGTCGCTCTTGCTGTACGTCCTTTCACTATTGTTGCTCTTGTTATCATTCGCCAGGCATCACTCATATATTTTATCAGCCTACACTAAAACTTAACTGTCAACAAGACGATATTTCGTATGCCAAGCATTAAGAGTGTTGGACCATGCGTGTAGCCTGGATGTACCTGTGTTTGGCTACAATGATTAAATGTTCCGTTTAGCAAGTTTCATGTCAACAATTGTTATCCACGTTTGTCGTTTGCCCAGCTATACTCAACTTTCACTCTGACGAAGGACTAACGCTCGAAGCTTCTGATTAAGAATCTCGCTACGTTGACCATCCAACATTTTCAATTCAGTTCATATATAACTGAATAATCTTGAACTTTATATCACTAAATCATACTTAACCATGAACAATAATTCTCAGGGAATTCTAACCTGTCTGAAAATCCATACATTTCTTTAAGATGTTGTTTTAAATAGAGAAGAAGTAGACAACCCTGAGAAGCAACACAACGTTGCTCAAAAATTGTTGGGTCTGGGGGAATCCGAGCTAAAACATAAAAAAAAAGACATGCAATAAGTTCCTCTGAAATTATACTCATAAAATCATGACATAAACTGGAAACCAAAGTCGTAATGACGAGAACATAGGTAAATGTGACATGGAACTAATCGTAGTTCACAGCACACTGTGTGTAATCGGACTGGAGAGCGTGTCAAAGCGAGTTTGATCTGTTTGTTGTAATTTTGGATCAACTGTAAATCAAATAAAACCAGCGAGCACAGCAAGGCAAAACCCAAAACAATTCCAGATTACGATAAACAATCTGTAGACACTGCACTTTGCTACCAATGGCATTTTCGTGTACAACAACTATCAGCATGACTACAAAAAGTAGGATAAAAGGAAAGCCAAAAGTGCGTCAGAAATTCGACTATCCGGACTTGATAAGAGCCGGATTTAGTGGTTGTTATCCTTTATTCTGTTCGTTTGTAAATAAACTTTACACGTCCGAGAAAGTCTTTCGTTAGGATATCCAACGATCAATGTTTGTTCACTCTAACCTTCTGTAAAAATTCACATACACACACACTGCAAACACACACAAACATCTTTACACATACTTCTTTAACTCTCTTATTAGTAGTGAGTCTTCTAATGAACCACTCTCGCGGTTATTAACTGTTTTATCCAACAGATCATACTCATTTATAGACGATTGTTTTTTTTTCTCCTCTTCTTTAAGTTACGTACCTAAAACGGACTCAAAATTTTCTTCCTCTTCTTCGAACTCATTGCCTTGAACAGGAGGTATCTGACCTTCACTTTCGATGGCTGGTTTAGCTACGGGGGTCATGGCCTGTTTAGAGAGATAAACTCATAGGTTATACAAGACTACGCTGTAATAACTGTAAGACTCTACTACGAATGCAAACTATTACGTCCGGAGCTTTAGCCTATTAAAAACTACAACCACAGCTGATCCTTGAAAGACCGGCATTTTGAGTGTTCCTTAACAGGCTATTCGACCACAAAATTAGCCATCAGTGTTCAGTAGTACTTTCAGTCGTCAGCAACTCCCTTCTCGGTAAATTTTACTACAAAATCTTGAATAAATGCATGTACGAGCTTACCTCTTTGAAGGACTGGAGCACATTTGCACCAGTTACAGAGAGGATGGTGTCAATGTGATAGATAACAAACAAAGGCTCTGCTTGTACAGAATACGGAAAGTGCGCCATGTTATCAGAAATATACAGCAGTAAGTCCAATTTAGCGCCCTGAAGAAAGGATAGAGAATGTTCCTTGAGTATAAAGTAAAGATTTTTCACTAACTTACAAGAAATTTCGAGCGTAGAAGTGGAAATAAAGATAAAAAAATATCTCGACGTGCGTACTTAGCCTTTAAGGTATGTCAACAAATATACGCCCTAATTTTTGCAAAGCCACGCTCAGAACCATCTTAATTTTCACCTGAACACTGACTTTTGTGAACAGAGTCAAGACGGCTTTAGCTAACTCTATTTACTTCCACTAACAAAGAATCTTCAAGAGCTCCATTGATTATCTAAAACTGCAGCCCTGGGCAGACTACCTTTAATCAACTAGCCGGCCAGCCTAAAATTAAGTTTGAAAGTTCAATAAGGAATCTCAGTATGGATGAAAAGTGGGTTTACCTTATGATCATCAAATATCCTCAGCATGGATTGTAAAAGAGACCGTCTGGGCTGTCTGCTAGTCCGTATAATGGAGTACAAATGACCAAGTGCGCAGTGATTTGCTTCTTTTCTGAATCCACGTATTGCGGTGTTTTTATCCTTTAAACAAAATCAATACAATAAACATTAAATACGAAGAACAAGTATGAGAAGCAGTATCGTTAAGCAAAATCATTCTTTCAACTAAGATCCATTGCTAATGATAGCTTGATTCTCAACGCAAGATTTAACTGTTAAAATTATTTTGTAGTTGTATCCTTGTAATATTCTTTTACATTAACAACTGGAATGATACATAATTACAATTCATAAATGCAAAAAAGTCATCCACTTGATTCAGCAACTATTTTCTCAAGCTTTACTAAGACACACATATCTGAAGTAAAAAGAATAAAATTCAAACCTTGTATATTAGACGTTGAAGCTCAAAGGACATTTTTATTCCAGCCAGGGCTTTCATCTAAAGCAACAGAATAAAGTATCATTAGGTAATTTGTCAATTAGAGCGGCAGACGTTTTCTTTTATCAAAGGGATAATGTAGGAATGTAAATTCGTTCAGAACCAACCTGGACAAACATGGAATATTTATTTGCGAGTTCCGAGAGTTGTTGATCCGATTTTACTCTCATTTGTTGTTCTTCATCAGTTCCAATAGCGATCAGATACGGAACACACTGTTGAAAACAAATGCAAACACAAAACAAAATAAGACAGAATTAATTATTTCACTTGGTTGATAATTTACTCTCCCGTAAACAGAACAATAGGCGCCCGCAAATATGGGGGAAAGAACGCTTAAAAAGTTTGATGTGATTCTAGAGAGTAAGATAAACAAATTAGTTTTATCAACAGGAAAAATCATGAAGACGTTGAAAATAAACCTTTCCAACCTCAAGTTAATACAGAGGAGAGTTCAAGTTTTTCCTTCCATCACTATCCCAACTGAATACTACCAAACAATTTACTGCCTTTTTCACCACGAAAAACGGTAACTCTTATGACACAAAATGTTTTCGAAGAATTTCTTCCGAAACAAGTTTGGATTCCGTCAGAGACGGGTCTTACTGCACGACTAATCAGGGCTCCTTCGAATACATCATTCGAGCGATTTTATCGTTCTTCCAGTCAACCAACCTGTACAGGATGAACAAGACCCTGCCTCAGAATCAGATTTACAACATGTAAGGCGGCCATACGAACAGAGGGCTGTGGATGCAAGAAGCTCTCCAGTACACTCTTGAGGTAAACTTGCATTACTGCACTGGTTGTACTGGAAAAAAATAAATTATATTCATTTCAATACTTTTTTTTTCAAACGTTTTATTTTTCTCTTTTTTCCTGGCACTGTGATAGCTGACTTGTTTCCCGGTTAAAAAGCGGTGCCCTAGTGGTTACAGAGCTAGACTCTAAATCGAGAGGTCCCGGTTCGAGTCCAGGCTAGATCACCGTGTTGAGTTCTTGGGAAGGACACCTTACACTCTACTTTCAAGGTTGACACATGCTCACGGCCCGGTTGTTCGAAAGGTGAGTAACGCTATCCACTGGGTAAATCTCTACCCGGTGGATAGCACAGTACGTTTCCTTCACACTTATCCGCTGGGTAGCGATTTATCCGTAGGATAGTGTTATCCGCCCTTTGAAGAACTGGACCCTGGTCGCCTCATGCGACAGAAACCGAAATAAGCATCAGTATATAATGGGCTACTTGGCCTCGAACAAGAAGGCTTCTTACCCAGACTGAGTGTCTCCAAGTTCTTTAAGATTTTGGTTTTCTTTCTCTTTTTCGACCTTCCTATGTCCTACAACAAGTCATATGACAAATGAATGAATTTACAAACTGAAGCATCAAGACTGATTTAGTAATACTCGATAAAGCACAAACTGATGTGTAACCTAAGCGATATGCACACTTTATCTCTTATGATAATCACAGATAAGACTGCATAACACCCGATGGACTTCATACCGTCATGTATGTATGTATGAGTAAAATATGTTGAATTTCTCTTACTGTGATGATCTTGGACATGTAGTCTTTTCTCCTCTTCTAGGAGGTGTGTCTGCAAGTTCTTTAAAACCTAATCAAATTACAAACGGAAGGGGAGAATATCACACTTTAGTATAATTGCTCCGGTGTTTATAGAAAAAATAAAACTCTGAAGAGCACAAATGATGCTATAAAGTTTGGCGTTACCCTTTTCAGAAGAAAGGTATTAAGTTTTAGCACACTGAATCAAATAACCTGTTAAATTCTAATGGAAACTGGCTGCCTATCTCGAATGGTTTGAAGGCACATGAAGGCACATGAGCGATTAAACTAAGACAGTTATTCGCCTTCGGCGAAAATTGTAAAAACAAAGCGGCACTTTTTCAATAGTACAAGAGGGTGGGTGCCGTATAGGCAGCAACAGAACAGGGCAGCAAACATCCCAAAAGGAAGAGAGGTCACCATGGCAACCGAGCAATAGCTCACTACTAAGCAGCTGTCAACACAACAGCATCAAAACGGGCAAAAGTTTGTGCCATTTTCCTGTAAATCTCCCTGACGCCGATGGGGGGCCTGCACATCAAATCAGTGAGGCTAGGGCATTGACTTAGTATTAACCCCTGCCTAAGCTACACTCAGCCTTATTAACAATGTTACCAGCTTTGAAAATGAAATGCATACCTGAAGCTTAAGTTTCAAAGGCTTATTGGCTTGCGATAGGATTCCCTGATAAAGTTCCTTGGCTTCTCCCTTCAGAAGCAGCTCACCATATCTCATGCAAAGAAATCCTGTACAAAATCAGAATGATTATGTTCAAAGTTGTGTTAAATGACATACGGAGCTAGAGTTCCGCTCAAGAATATCAAAATAGAACAGCAAGCGTTATTTTTTACGCAAACTGTTCGATACACGATACACAAAGAGAACCGAATTGGCAAGCGTTAACTGATAAACAGACGGTGCAAATGATTTTTATGACGGTCAATACAAGTCACAAAAAACGTGGTCAAGCCACAAAAATAGTGGTTCAATAAAACTTCCTGAAGAACACCTTTTGGAAGAATTAGACCACCGCTTCCTGTATGTTGAAAAAAAGAAAAGCCAATTTATTTTACACAGGAATGATAAACTTACCCAAATTCAATTCACTTACCTAGCCCTGTAATGGCTTTCTGGCAGACCTCTTCGTCAGAGTGCTTAGTAAAGTAGATATACACAGCGAAAACTCTGTCCTTAGTTGAACCCTGCTTGAAAGAAAGAAAACTTCAACAGGGATCCCATGAAATAGTGACTCTTTGAAACTAAAAAAAAATCAAATCACAAAGGTGGATGTGTTTTGCTTGAACCACTGAGAACACTCTAACAGTCTGTTTGTGATCCATTGTTTACAATGAAGTGCAATCAACTGTTGTTAGATTGAATTTCTGGTCACGTTTCGTTTCATTCTTTTTAAGGAAGCTTTCCTGAATGAAACTAACCTCGTTTTTCGGTTTCGCATCGCTGTCGAAATCAAACTGCTTGCAGAGTAGTCCAAGAGTAAACAACGATCTTAGTAAGGTTGGTCTGTTGACCTGAGCCTTGCTTGGATTCTTGGTCATATCTGCTTTGGCCTTCGCTAAGTAACCTGTAATGAAAGCAATTATATACAATTATATTCTGAGTGTCGGTGTACATGTGAGGTGAAACAGAGAGGTTACGTTGTCAGTTCTTTGACACGCTGAGTTTGTTTATATCACCATCTAGAGCCCCGCAACTTTCCACAGTAAACTTAGAGCGATACAACCTTTACGAGCTTTAGCCCTTCGTCAGAACGATGGCGAAGGGCTAAAGCTCGTAACATTAGCTTTGAAACTCTTTAAGGCGGCCAATTTACGTTATTAACTCAGTTGATAGTACCAAATTACCACATTAAGTTATCACTCATCAATAAAAAGAACACAACAAAACTATCTGAGCTGCAATGCTGTTTTGATCATCAGGGTTTGTATAATCCTCGCTACATTTTTCATAACTAAAAATAGCGGTCGCTCATCGTAGTCCTTTCCTAGAACCACTGAATATTAACAGAGGTATCCTTGAAGAAAATTGACTTACCATGATACTTAAGGAAGTAGTCCTTAACAAGTCTGATGTTATGAGTGACTTTATTTACAACAGCTCCCAAACAGCTAATGCAACTCTGGACAACCTGGAAAATGAGAGCTTGTGATTTACAAACTTTTCTCGTGTTATCCCAAAATCTCGCGTGGGTTATTACGCCAGTATACTCGGCCGATAGAAAGTCCATGCCATTGCTTAAATAGGTTTTCTTGAGATCTAAACAACAGAATCAGTTATTTGAATTCATGATTGATTCGAACATCGTCCATACCGTCTGCCCATGTTTGACAGTAAGTCTCATTAGGTCCTCCTCCAGGCTTGCCAAGAATGTTTCACTGGGATGTTCCATTAAAGGGACTACCAGTTCCAAAATGCGTGCCACGTTGTGGATCACAAGGTAGTCTCCCTGGGTCTACAAAAAAAAGGAACATAGCAGCTAAAGAGGGAAGCTCATGTTTTGACACTTGAAGTTCTCTACAAGTTGAGCCCAGAGAGTGCTTGGCTTCTAATTTCTCCTTACAGTATCCTCCTTGAATCAAATGCAAATGTCATGAGAATAAAGGAAATGGTCACCAATTTAAGCAGCTCCTGATTATCAAACAGATTCTCCTTGTCAGTACCAGAAGGAATGTCTAGAGAATAGTGTTTAGAATATTACTACTAATGTCAGGGTGTAAAGGGTTAATTGTTTCCAGTATCTGAATGTTACATGTATTCTGTGACCAGAACAAGAATTAAAGATGTCGTTGATACTTACACTACACTTTGTACTAAGGTAAGGGTGTAAAGTCATGGCATGTTTTACTAACAACTGCGGCTTAATCTTGCTTATCAGGTACAAAGTAGACAAGCTGGACACCAATCTCTGGCTACTGGAGCCTTTACCTTCAGACTGAGCTGAAACAAGACAACCTTCCAGAGTTAATTCACTTATATAGTGTACGGATTAAGAACAATTAACCTCTGACATTTTTCCCTTTAAATCACAAAAACGCACTTTATCATTCTTCTTGTATACAACAGACTGTAAAGCTTGACAGAGACATAGCGGACTGGATAAAAATGGTTGTCGTCTTTTAAATGAAAAGGAGTCGCAGCAGTTTCAATGAAATAATCCTTGACGGAGTACCTTTTTCAATACATTGACAGAGCCACAGGTTTTTCACAAAAAGAAAAAATTTCATTACTCACCAACTGCTCTTTCCTCCAAACTCAGCACATTTTCAACCAAGCAATTAACAATTTGTTGACTAGCTTCTTCTGAAGCTTTTGCAATAGAGTCTTCCTCGTTGTGAAGCAGCTATTGAAATGCAAAGGCGATGACAAACAGTTTGCAATTGTATATAAGTGTTTGTTTCAATAAATGAGTGATGTCTGTGCACGTAAAACAAAAACAATTTCTATTTAGCTCTCATTTCTGAATTCCTCTCTAAAATCCAGTGGACAAACACGAAAATAACATCTTGCTCTTAGTGCAAAAAGAAAAATTTACATCTTTGTTCAGTGTTGCCGTCAAGTCTCAATTATCTTTACCTGAATTTAACACTAACAGTGAACTTACGTTTTCCAAGAGCTGCTCATACCAGTCCCCATTCTCACCACACGCTGCAACCTGAGTAATAGATGTACAAGATGGTTTGTCACACTAAAACTTAAGCGAAAACAAACATGTTTTAATCATTCGGATATAAACACTTACCACATCAGTCATATGGACAACACGTTTCACAAGAACATCAGAGTTTTCTTCACCCTTAAGGGGCGTAAACCACATCTGTTGGAAGACTTTGGTAACCAGTTCCTGAAAGAAAAAATAATGCAATTCTAAACCGAGTAAAAATTTATCACTGACACATTTGAGGAATAGGATTCTGACCTGCTGAGATGCTTCAGGAAAAATCACAACTTCTTACTGCCATTATACAATTACCTTTATTCCTTCTTCATCACATATTCTTCGGATAATCTTGACACAGATTTCAGTATTTTTCGGAAAATCTGGATGGTTGATGCAAATGTCCCTGAGGATTTTGATCACTCTTTTCCTTACACTTATCCCAGTGTCCTGTCGAAAAATCAGCGTAAGTACGGGAGATAAAATTGTGACAAATTTATTCCTGATTGTGGAATACTGTTACCATAAGCATCTTCAAACCATGACAATTATTTGGAAATGATAATTATCGTGGAAAATTGTGAAGTTGATTATATTGTTAAAAAGGAGTTTACTGGCATTTCAATTTGTTTGTGACATAAATGGATCTTTGAATGGAATAGAACTAAATTTATTTCTTATTGTAACCTCGATGATCTCAGTGATTCATCAAAATTAATTTGAGTTTTTGATTAATCAACACAAGTTTCTGTCTTAATCTAGGTAAAAAAGGGTAACTTACATTCCCCTTACCCCCAGTAATCCACAACTTATTCTAAGGGAAAAAGCCAATCTGTGTTTGATTATCAATCCCATAATAACTTTTGATCGAGAAGGAAAGTTACGCAAACACTCTGGACATATGCATGCTTAAACAAACTAAATCCTCCTGTCATTCCTGTTACCAAGACACAAGGAATGCAGGCTGATTACAAAGTGGCCTCAGACCTCAATTCAACCCTTTCATTCCCAAGATCTAATAAGGAGCTCCCCCTACTGTCTTCTTTACATTTCTCATCATGTTAGTTCTGAGAATTTGACATTGAATAATACACTCTGTACTATTCTCCTAGTTAATATTTCCTTGATTTTCATCATGTCTTCTTGACAGTATATTGATCCTGTGAAGATAATTTACTTCTGAGTCAGTCCAAGAGTGAAAAGAGTTAAAATCAACAACAAGCTACTCACAAGTATCCTCTCAATTATCATGTCATAATACTGATGAATTAGCTCTGGTTTGTTGAGGACAAAACGTCCAATAAGCTCAACCGCAGCTTCTCTGACACTGGTTGACATGTCCACAAATTTGGCATGGACTCCTTTCTGCATATCATCCTAAAATTGAGAATGCACATATATGTAGGATACTGGTTAGTAAGTATCCCTGTAAAAATATTAACCCAAAAGTTTCATGGGCTCAGAGTACAGAGAAAGTTCATTAAGAAAAATCATTTTCTTAAAATAATAGAATTTAAGATAGATAAACAAGTCTGCTTCAGTGCATTTTTTAAAAATCACTTTCACGTTAATTTTTCTATTTTTATAGTTACTACGGAATGTTGATCTGAAACAAGAAAAAAAGGAAACTTAAACTGGTACAAAAAAATTTTAACCACCAAACGCTTTTAGGAAGTTCAGGAAGTAGAAGGCTGAGAAAGAATCAGAGAAAAAAAATTGGTAGAGATAAAGATACCTAAAAAATTAACAGCATTATCATCGTCATCATAATAGTCATTATCACTTTTTTATGACTAACATTATTACCACAATCACTGTTAAGTATTATAAGCATTTAGTAATAACAGAAACACTTACCCTTGAGAGAATGGAAGGATCAGCAGAGATGACAGCGGAGAGAGATTTCATTGCTTTTGTTCTTATGGCCACAGCACTCTCCGTGAGTACTCTTAGGATCTGTGAACAACATAAGCTAAAAATTATCTCATGGATACTCCTTCAACTTGTAACTTTGAAAGTTTCACATACTAAGCAAGCAATAATTAACAATTATTATCAAAATGTACTTTCTTGGTTTGGAGGAGAGTGCATATCGATTTGCATATGGTCATCATACCTGGCTCAGATAAGCATCAAAGCTCTTCGAAAATGATCTCGATGAAGCAAGATATCTTGTGACTAGCATTGCCTGCTCATAGTCCAAACTATTGTGAGAAGATCTGCAAGATAGAACATCTTAATCTGTAATCAAACACTATAGACAGCCTAAAATCTTACGTAAAATTAGGGGACAAAAAATTACCCTATTTTGGTACATTTTCAAAAAGCAGAAACATCACTGAAAATTACATGGTAGAGTTAGAGCTGTAATAATAATTACATGTATCTCCTGTGATTATCCTTTAAGTGGCAATGTAAATGTATCTAAAACTATTATAACCAACAGATAAACTGTAAGAAAAGAGAGGATATAAATCAACGTACCTGATAGTTGACACATTTCTTCCATCCAAAATAGAAAGCAAGAAAGCCTTTTTGTCCTCTAATTTGGTGATACTCTGTGCATCTATGAAGGAATCATTAGTCAGTCCTTCTCCACTATCGAGGGGATCTTCCACTGGTGTTCTTAAGCAACGCTCCATTTCAACATGGTTATCCCTAATCCACTGGGCCAGGAAGAACTGTCTTGCAAACTGCAAAAAGGAAAATTTTGGGTGAGCTCATATGTGTTGATGTGCTCCACATAGGTAACATTTATTGCTTCCATCAATGCCAGGTAGTACAACATTTAATATTCTTGTTATGACATACATGTACCCATACGCACTACAAGAACTAAAACAGAACCTAACAGTAAATTTAGAAGTTTTTATAAGACACATTGATTTTCTTTAAGTACATCACTGCAGTAGGTCACTCATAACATAATAAGATCTAATGTTTGAAATAACTATGCCAATTGAAATCAAAGATAAGAAATATCTTCAATCTCTAATAAAACTCCAAGATTACAACTATCAGAGGCTATATCTGTATTTTATTACCATAAAAGCTGCATCTGTGTTACCCTCTGAATTCAACCAGTTTGCGAGTGTTTTTTGAAGAATTTGGTTTCTCTTGCCAGAACGTTCATCCTGAAATGCAAGTAAAAATATCGCAAATTTACATACTTTTCTGTTGAGCAAAATGTCAATCCAGGAGATAAAAAAGTAACGTGAAAATCAACTCTCCATATGTACATGTAGTTTGAGACATAATAATCTTTTCATGATATGCCTTCCATCTGTCTGCCATTGTCAAGGAGTATATTAAAGCTTGAACACTAAGGAAAGTAACTAAAACAGGTATCTGCAATAAACTTTAAGTTGATACTTCTTCCAAAAAAAGTAACTAAAACTTAGATCATTAATGCAAGCTTCCAAAAACTTTAAGGAAGACTGACTTTGTGCAAGCAGCAACTAAATTTTGTCTCAGGAACATGAATCTTTGCAAAAGTTCTTAAGTCATACACATGGAATTTTCATGCAACTTGTCCCTCCATCTCTCCTGGAGCATCCTGACTTCTAATGTTTACAAGAAATATAGGACTTACCAGGTGAGAAACTTCATCACCAGAGTCTTCAGAGACTTCCCCAAGTTGCTTATATGAAACAATTAAAACATAACATAAGTAATGTTTATTCAAACCAGTTGAGCTCCTACCAGGAGCAAACTACTACTTTTGCTTTCACTATTTTACTTCTCAATATCGTTTCAGTGCTATGAATCCTTATCAAAAGTCATTCACATCATATTGTTTTGGTTACCTCCACTAAAATTTCTGTAATGCTTTCTGTATCTTGCTGACTGTTCACTGCATCTTTTCTCAAATGAGCTGCCACAACACCAAGATAGTCGATGGCTGAAACCCTCAGACTAACATCATTTGTTTTATTGTTAAAGGTCACAATCTAACAGAAAATTAAAGGCATACATTTTTAAATTAATGTCTGTGATTTCATTTGTATATTTGTCAGTATGTAAGATGTGGGGAAATAATGCTTGCATGCTGAACTCCAGATTGTGAGTTTTGGAGGACAACAACGAAATCACTGCACTGTGTCCTACATGTTTAGGGGATTACAGTTTGTGTACAAGTAGGATCAGACAGATTTAACAGTCTTGCAGAGTTTTGAAATCTGACTTGAAATACAAATTCAACAATTTTAACAAACAATGTTCCTTCTATCTTATACAACACATAAAAAAGTACTCAGTTCTGATCGGTTGAAATAAATTCAGTTTTCAGGTAATTCAAAGCAGAAGAGGGTTAAATCAGTGCAAAGAAGTAACAAACCAGACTGAACAGTTCCTTGAACTGTTTAGCCAGACTTTGAACTTTTCTGCACCTTAAAGATGTGAAAATGTCATTGTATATTATCGTTTTGATTGTATGCCGTTGTTTTGACTGAACACACAATGTCACTTGCAGGGTTTGAATAAGTTATTTTTGCACTTGATGCACGCACTTTGCTTCTGCATAATTACAATAAGCTATCTCATATTTTTTCATGTATATAATTAATACATAACCTCATGATTTTGAGTGCAATTTGGAATAAATAAGCCCTTGTAAATTTTTTCAAAGACCACAAACTGCACTTGCCCTACAGGCTCATGCAGATTTTCACATTGATCTGGGGCTTCACCCTTGTCAACTACTGTCAGTATCAGCCCATACAAATCTCAAGTTTGCCTTTTTATTACAACATGTGTACTATAGGTACTGTATATAAAACTTTAGTTACCAACAATCTGCCAAGAAGAGTGAGCAAAACCTCGGCAGCTGGCCAGTCTGGTCTGTTGAGTGTAACCAGCAGATCTTGAAGAAAGTTCTCAAACAGAGGCCTGTAATCTTCTTCATCTTTACCAACACTTATGCATCTACAATTTTAAATGCTTATTATGAGTTGCATGAGCTAAATATTATTCATAGTAAAATTACACATGATCAACATGTCATAATAAGGACGAAGAAGAGCAGTATACTGTATACTGTACATTACACTTTTAAAATATAAAAATTCAAATGGGGAAGATCTACTGTGCTTGTGCGTGCATATAATAATAAAACAACTTACTTGTTCAAAAACATCGACAAGAAATTCTGTGCAGTCCTCAGGGCATTCTCATATGATGTGATGATAATGATGTTACGGTCAATCTGAAATAAGTTGTCAATAGCAAATACCTTTTGGACAAAGTATGCCTAAGACTTCTAAATGTTGAGAGGAAAAGGGGAGTTATTGCAATGTAACAAATGAAAATGTCAAGCCTTTATCTTAAAGGAGTACAAATTTTAAGAGTACACATACAACATTCAAGTGTACATGTGCAGTCCCTCAAAACTGGATATGCCATCCTCAATCCTTGATGTTAATAAACTTCAAAGATCAAGGCTTACAAATCTGAAAAATGGTTGAGGACTTTCAAGAATTTTCCAGTCAAAAAACAAAGGACTTTTTTTACTCTATTATTTTTTTTGTCTGTCAAGTACAAGTACTAATGGTAAGCTTGATGCAATATTTGCACAGCTTACATGTGGTTTGTTCTCATCATCTTCAGCTTCATCCTGCATGTCATCAGTATTTTCTGGAATTTTAACTGAGGATTGAATAAGCTGAAGCACCAGTGCTGTGACCATCTGAATGGAGAGATCTCCAGTAAGTCTGAGGAAAGGAAACAGAACAGTAAATCTCATAAGTTACAGAAATCTCTCTTGTCTTGCTCTATTGAAAGGTTACAATCCATAACAGTGGAAGACTAAAATAAAAAAAGACAAATTTACAATGTGTAGAGGGCTTATTGGAAGCCTCTAAGTACTTTACAATATGGAAGAGAGAGGAACAAGTATTCTTAAATAAACATAAAGTTCTTGATAACAGAAACTTTCTAGTACACAAACCTATAACTCCTGAGTGTCCTTTTGCTGCTAGGGAGTTTGGCTAATGATGCAAAAATGTCTTCCAAGATTAAGTCCCTATGTTTGACATATTTTCGGAATATCTACCAAAACAACAACAACAAAAAACATCTTTCATAATGATTATCTAGCCTGTTCCTTATTCAGTACATGTAGCATGTTCCTTTACTTGTCTTTAACGTCTAAAAGATAATTATTTCTAATCAGTGTCTATTCTTGATCAGAATGTATACCTAAAAGTGACATTCAGTTGATGAAATGTGCCTAAAGACAGCTGACTTTGAGCTGTAAACAGTAGCAACCTATCTGGCAGTTAAACATCAGAAGCAAATTAATAATGGTAATAGGACCGAGTGGAGTCCAATTCAGTTTGTAATTGTACGAGTGATTAACAAAATCGGATGACAATCGAGCGGGAGTCTGATTTGTTAATCACGACTATGATTACAGACAGAATTGGACAACAAGAAGTCCTGTTACCATATAATCATAACCATTTCAATTTTGAAAAAAAAGAATACACCTAGAAAAAATATATCCAATGGAGACAATGTCTTAAGTTAAAAACTACTCCATTTTGGAAATTCTCCAGTTTTTCTTTGGATAAGTGGTTGTTGCTATGGTTATTTTGATCATT